CCGGAATTGCAACACACGCTCCTAAATCTCCTAAATCATAGACATTTTCTATGGAGCGACTTTACTTCCCACAGGCGTCTTCCTACATGTTTCTCACATCATTTTTTCTATGTATTTCCATTGTTGATTAAAGTACTAGTCGTATTAAGTTACAGGGTGTCACTTTTTGTCTATTTCACAATCCATTTCTCAACAAGCAACGCAGGCTCTTAAAGGGTTAAAATGTTGTTGTAGAAGTTGGTGAACTTGCAACTTAAATTAAACATCAGATTTGGGAATTAGCTTACTGCGTGGTCACTTTGATAATGATGGGATCACTTCAGATAAAGAGCATATTCGTCTTAATGAGAGATTCACTGATTTTGAACAAATCAAAAACAAGTGGAAAAGACGTGTTGAAAGTATGTTATCTAAGGTCCTGTTCATGCTAAGTGTAAGTCTTCGGGCCTAAAAGCAAAACAAAATCTTTATCAATCCTGTGTATAATGCAGCAGCCGTTTTTGGGGGTCAAGAGCGAAAAGATGAGCCGAGAGCGGCCAGAGAGAGACCACAGTGAGACCACAGAGAGACCAGAAAGAGAAACCGAGTGAGGCCAGAGAGAGACCACAGTGAGACCACAGAGAGACCAGAAAGACAAACCGAGTGAGGCCGGAGAGGGAGACCAGAGAGTGAGACCAGAGAGTGAGACTAGAGAAGGTGACCAGAGCGTGAGACCAGAGAGTGAGACCAGAGAGGGAGACCATAGAGGGAGACCATAGAGGGAGACCACAGAGGGAGACCATAGAGGGAGACCATAGAGGGAGACCATAGAGGGACCAGAGAGTGTGAAGCAAACAGTCATAGAGTAAGAAGATTTACTTTTCAATGTACAGTGTGTTTTGTATTGTTTTAGTTGCACAGAAACATGTGTCCTGGTTTGACAGGTTCTTGTCTGTGTAAAAAACACAAATGTAATAGTTTGAATTCCCTCGACCCACATGCAGCCGGATGAGCTCCCCTTTCACTATCACCTCCAGCCTTTCAAAGATGACACCCGTAAACGCAAATGATTATGACCGCATTAAATTCATATTTGAATCTGGCCCTTTCTCTGGACCTGCCTTTTTTTTTGTCTCGGAAGGCTTTCGCTTCATCCCCCATGGCGTCGGCGGCCTCTGAAGCTCGCGGGAACATTCACACCAACGTCTTTGAGCACAATGGAACAGCGCTAAGCTAATTAGAGAGGCTTAATGTTTTACGGCGGGTAAGAGGAGAGCTCGGCGACAGCATAGTCAGAATGGAGCAGGCTACACCGCTCCAGGGAGGGCTGTAATCAAATATTCTACCACTCGCCAACAGAAGGACAGAAAAAACTTGAAAATATCTGATAAAAATAGGCTCGGGGAGTTGGGGGAGATACTGTGACACCAAATCTAATATCCACTGTCTAATTTTAATTACTGGGTGTAAAGGGAGTAAGATAAGAACAGTGTTAAAGCTGGAAGCATTGGAGCCAAAAGATCGTCGCCACAGCGCTGTCCTCAACTCACTGTGGTGGTAGTTTGAACACCAATTAGTCACTTTTAAAGCCCAAGAATAAAGACAAAGAAGTAGTTAAAGCTGGGGTACCTAATAAAATACATCGAACAATTATTTCCTTTGCGGGGCCACAATGGGATATCACCCTGTCAAGGAGGGCCGGACCCGTTTTCATATGGTTATTTCTTTATTTCATTTTCCAAAAAGCTTTCTTTGGACCTCTGTTATATATTTATTACTGCTAGATATTATTATCAGAAGAATTGAGCGTATTTGTTCTGACCACCATTGTTACAAGTATATATGTATATCTGAAGCATGTCATTGGTCATTGGGTTCCAGGCCTGAAACTTCCCGTGTCTGAGTAGGTTTCCTCCAAGTGCTCCGGTTTCCCCTACCTCTAAAATCATGTACAATAGGTATGGCATGTTCCTCCTGTACGGTGAACCCGCTCCCATCTCTGTATGGAGTGAGAGACAAATGCACAAAAAACATGAGTTCCTTCATAGTTTTGATGCCTTCAGTGTGAATCTACAATTTTCATAATCATGAAAATAAAAAAACTTTTTGAATGAGAAGGTGCGTCCAAACTTTTGGTCTGTACTGTACATAGACTTTTTTGTTCTACCTGGAAGAACTTGTAAATAAACAGGGTTACAGGTGCGATCGCTGCTGCCTCTGTCTTCATTTCTCAACAGTGTAACACCTATTAAGTTACAAGCCTTTATTGGGTTTTGACACAAGATTCATTTAAATAAGCAACAGATTGGTATGAGGTTACAGACAGAGAAGGGTCCGGGGCCACATAGAACTGTGAATCAGGCCGGATGTGGCCCCTGATCTAACCAGTTCCTCGCTCTCTAAACAGTTTGCTTCTATCACTGTCCCTAGTTTCCACATGCATGTACTATAGTTTTGGCTTTCGATCAGATTTTTCAGAGAGAAAAGTGGAAAAGAGAGGATTGCCTTGACGCTTAGCCCAAAGTGTCAATAAGGGACTCACCTAGAAATATTTTCAGGAACACCATTCCAGATCAGAATTTGACACAATTAGCACTAGCATACAATTGGTTAAAATGCATAAACAACGACAAAACACTGACAGAATTTCTTCCACTTTCCACCAGGCTAAACTTTTTCTTCTCTTTGCAAAACTCTGGCCTCAAAATCATTTTCTAGTTTCTCCAGTGGAAAATATAAGATGACAGAGCTTTCATGTGCAATTTCTCACTCGGAAAGTGGTATTTACCATAATTCCCAGAGCACATGAAAGCAGCATCACTTCAAACACTTGTTCATATTTCATATTTCCCTCAAATCTTCAATTTTGAACTTTATGCTTAAAGACAGAAATCTAATGGTAGCCTCAATCATTATGTGAAAAATCCATTTTTATTTAAAATCTTGTGGCCCAAAAAATAATATGGAAAAACATGTAAGGCGAGAACAGAGTGAGGTGAGATTAAAGCTGTGGTACCTAACTTTATGTTTCATGTTGGTTGTCCCAGTGTTTTATTTCTGAACAAATAAGATCACACCAATGCAAGCTTCATCATGTTTTTTGCGTATTTGTAAAATTAATATTAAGATTAGGAGATCCTTTATTTGTTCCACAGTGCGGAAATTTTAGTGTTGCATCACCGGTTGCAGAACAGTAGTAACGAGAGTGATGGTGTTGCTCTCTTTTTTACAGAGACCAGAGAAATACCAAAGAGAGACCAGAGAGAGACCAGAGAGATGGTAGAAAGAGACCAGAGAGAGACCAGAGAGAGACCAGAGAAAGACCAGAGAGAGACCAGAGAGAGACCAGAGAGATGGTAGAAAGAGACCAGAGAGAGACCAGAGAGAGACCAGAGAAAGACCAGAGAGAGACCAGAGCGAGACCAGAGCGAGACCAGAGCGAGACCAGAGCGAGACCAGAGCGAGACCAGAGCGAGACCAGAGCGAGACCAGAGCGAGACCAGAGAGAGACCAGGGAGAGACCAGGGAGAGACCAGAGAGAGACCAGAGAGAGACCAGAGAGAGACCAGAGAGAGACCAGAGAGAGACCAGAGAGAGACCAGAGAGAGACCAGAGAGAGACCAGAGAGAGACCAGAGAGAGACCAGAGAGAGACCAGAGAGAGACCAGAGAGAGACCAGAGAGAGACCAGAGAGACACCAGAGAGAGACCAGAGAGAGACCAGAGAGAGACCAGAGAGAGACCAGAGAGAGACACCAGAGAGATGGTAGAAAGAGACCAGAGAGAGACCAGAAAAAGACCAGAGAGAGACCAGAGCGAGACCAGAGCGAGACCAGAGCGAGACCAGAGCGAGACCAGAGAGAGACCAGGGAGACACCAGAGAGAGACCAGAGAGAGACCAGGGAGAGACCAGAGCGAGACCAGAGCGAGACCAGAGAGACACCAGAGAGTGATCCAAATACTAACTGTGACACCATTACATCATTATAGAGTAAAAATAATTCACTTTTAAATGTAAACTTTTTATAACACAATTTTACAAAGTGCTGCACAGAGACAAAAATAAGAAATGGTCTAAACAGGTCTGCCAGCTTCAAAAAAAAGATGAACTATTGAAGTATGAACTATCGAAATGAAGGAACACTAAAATACCATTTATGTACGTAACAGTTCAAACAGTGCTTTTCTACCTTTCATTTTCCTTTTGATCTGATTTGAGACCAGACAATTGGGCAGTGGTTGTTTGTGAGAGCTCATCTAAAGTTTGGAAGATGCTGATTGCTCTCTGGCGCTTTCCGATTCAAATTACTTTTTAATAGCTTTTTATGCACTGTAGTATAAACACGCAATAATAGTCTTTATAAAACAGTTTTACTGAGTCCATCTCAAACATTAGAGCGTATTTGCAATCGTAACTCACAAAAATCGCCGCGACTGTTGTCTGGCTGTATTTACCTGTGTGCAAACTTTAATATGGAGGCGGGTTTTTACAATCAATGGGGGATTTTACTGTTATCTCAAGCAAAAAGCATTTTCTCAGCGAATTGCCTGAAAAACAAGCCAAAACAATGTTCCCTCGTCAAAAATGCTCCTTTTGCCGCAAAGATGTCCCCCCGACCCTTCTGTCTAAATACTCCTGTTACAAACCTGGTTCCCTTTATTCTTCCTGGAATTATTACTCTAAGTAGTAGTATGTGTAGTTTGAACCGGCTGGTAATTTTGGAAGTGGGCGTCACAGAGACTGAGTTATTTGCTCTCTTGCTTTTAACCGAGAAGGTTTTGGTTGGAATCCCAGTCGGAACAGCCTTTCTGATTGGAGTTTGCATGTTCTCCCTGTGTCTGTGTAGGTTTCCTCTGGGTGCTCTAGCTTCTGCCACCACCAGTAGTAAACAATAGGATCCAGGCTTTTTATCCAGGACTTAGGCTGTAGAACCCCAGACCGGTGGGCTGCGGGGGTGGGTCGGTAAACAGGACATTTTCTGAGGACAAATTTCGATGCATGTTCAAAAAAGCAGAGCTGTTATGGAATATTCTGCACAAGTCACAGTTCGGGCTCTGAGGTCTGTGGCTCAGATCTGTCTGTGGTTTTGGTCTGTCACTGAGTTGTTTTGGCAATTATGTATTTATTTTGCATGCACATTTTAAATTGTATTTTAACTAGTATCTTATCTTCTTCTACTGTAAAGCGCTTTGTGGCTTTGGTCTGTGAAAGCCGCTGCATAAATAAAGCTTACTCACTTACGTACAGTTGTAAGTCCACATGAGACTGATGCCCTGGAACATTTGCATATTCAGAACTGGCCTTTGTGTCAAACATCTCTTCATTATCTCTGTGAACTTCTCCGCAGCGTCGCAGCTTCTCCGGAGCGCTCAGACACAATTCAATTAACTGCAACTCGAAAGGGGTCAGCAGAGTTTGGTCAGAAAGCAGTCCATGTCTTAGTCATTATGAAATATGTATTCGAGGCTTTTCAATTGCTTTCTTTCTTTCACGTTTGCTACTGCACATAAGCCACCAGAGATTCAACTTATCTGCTTTTTCAAGTCAAATGGCAGTGAACATTTATTCATATCAATGGCTCCTATGTGCTTCTTGTTATTGTATTTCCTTTGTTTGAACGATTTGGTTCTCTGATCTGTTGTTGGTGAATCTACAACTTTGTGAAGTCTTCCGAGACGACTGCTGTTGTGATGGCTATGGAAGAGAAATCTGAATTCCCAAACATCAACCTGGAACCAGTGGCAGCACCAGGCCATTGTTATTAGGGGGTATACGCCTATTCGCAACGTCAATATTACCATAGTTACGGTGGGGTAAACAATTGATCATGACACCCACTATTTCTCGATTAGCGGAACACATGGCCTGTAGCTACAGAAGACAACAGCGCACAAACAGCTGGTTTTATATCGCATTAAGGAAGTGTTACGACCCGGCTTTGCTAAGGTGAGGGAGGTTACATATAACCAAGATGTAAAAAGGGGTAAAAGGAAGTAATGTAATAAGAATAATAATAAGAATAATAAATATTAAGTCAACACATAAAATGGGTACAAATAGGAGGGGTAAACAAAACACAACAAGTGAAAACTAATCAATTCAATTTATTTTTGCCCTAAATCAGCAGTTATTTCAGAGTACTTAACAAAACCGTTGAATTCACCAACACAGATCGGAGGGGCAGACAAAAAACAAAAAGAGGTACTAAAGAAGTATGTGGAGGAAAGAGTGATGCTCTCAGTACAGTAGAAATTCAAGAGGTGTAGGGTCAGAGAGTAAGAAAGGTAAGAACCATCAGCTTTGTCCAACCCCTTTTCAGACAGTTCATAAATACTCTTGTACATACTGTAAGTTTGAAAAAAAACCTTATTTTCACTACAACCACTGCAGTCTTTGTGCAAACCAAACTGACCAAAGCTGCTTTCCCTCACCTAGTTTACACCCTGTTATTTCCTCATAATTTCCACTTTTCTCCTTCCTTTTCATGCCCACAACAAGTTCTTCCAGCGGTTCTCATCTCGGAGTTCCCTCATTACCATGTACAACCGCGCGCTCCATAAACAGGCCTATTCTCTGCAGTCTTCAATGATTTATGTGCGAGTCTTAATCAGCTTTTGTGTCCTGTACCGATGCATATGGCAGAGCTGGACCGAAGCCAGGCCATTTCTCAGCTGCATCTCTCGCCTTCGCGTCTCCCTGGACCCAAAACACACTAATTAGGATGCCTTAATCACACGCTCTCTGGCACAATCCCTGGTGTTCGGAGACGGCGCACCACTTAAAGCGCCGGTACTTTTATTATTTTGTCTCGATGCGGCTCTTTCCAGCGAAGGGAGGCTGATGCCTTTAATTAATGTGAGAGCGAAGGAGGATCAGAAGCAGCGTGTGAATGTTCGGCCGAGTTCGTTTAGGATTGGCTGTAAAGTAGAAGTAGATGGGTGTGGATTGGAATTAGGGCTCAAAGTACGGACTCAGCTTTTTCATGTAGAATACTGATCCCTGTCCATTAGGGAGCGGCCTCTCAGTAAGAAGGTCTGGAATTCAAATCCCGGTCTGAACATGGCCTTTCTGAGAGGAGAAGTTTATCCTGTGTCTGCATAGGTTTTGCCCGTGTGTTCAGGTTTTCCTTGCCGCAAAAAACATGTATAATTATTTCACAGAAGGGGTCTCCAACCTTTTCGACTGGAGTACTACCTTTATAAAACAGAAATGGTAGAGAGTTACTCCTTTTAGCAGTTGTAATACAATTGCTACAGCCAATCATAAAGAACACACACGCATTATTTACCATTATGCCGTACAGTATCCCAGCATTCATTAAAAAGGGTATTGGGAAACTAGATATGTGATGACTCTAAAGTGGATAATTCACGGCCATGTGTTAACTTGAGCTTCTTGAAAGGGATTGGCGAGCTACTGGTAGGTTCCCGAGCCACAGGTTGGAGACCCCTGCTTTACAGCTTCAACTTGAATAATTATGATGTAATGTCTTCTTCTCTCCTCAGTTCGGACGCACAGAAGTGATCGATAACACGCTGAACCCAGACTTTGTCCGGAAATACATCATGGACTACTTCTTCGAGGAGAAACAGAACCTGCGCTTCGACCTGTGAGTTTCGCTACAATAACAAAAAATTAGCTACATCATTCCTCTCTATCTTGTTTTACACACCTTCTATTTTCAGTTAAATAAAATAACTGCTCTTACGTCTATCAATGCGTTTGAGTTTTAAACATTGAGTTTCCATCATTTGCACTGTTTTCAGTCTTATGCACTATGCAGGAGTGGGGGCAGTGAGGGTGTCACAGGGGAACTCAATCACTCATGCTTTATGTTCATATTTGGGCTGTAATTAAGTACATTTATTAAAGCTGAGGTGACAATGAAACGACAAAAAACACAGTTTTAATCTATTGCTAGTTTTCACATGCATCTATTTTTGGCCTCTGACACTTTTTTAGATCAGCTTTTTCAGACAGAAAAAGTGAAAAAGAGATGACCCCCTACTCCCCTATCAGCTCTCAGTATCTAAAAGACCATGGTCTTGGTACTTACAAGATTATTTGTTTTGGGTCAAACATAATGTAGTTATGACACGTAAAAGTTCAGGACTCCAACTTTAATTGCAACAAATCGTATCATAAAATAGTCGACTAATCTGGTAATCGGTTGAAACTAGGGCTGGCCGATATGGCAAAAAACTATTTTAAATTGATTTCATTACAGTTTGCCCTTAATTATTATTTTTTTGATCTTTCCACTCAATAATCAAGTTTCAAAACCATTATTATTTTGTTTCCCCCAATACGTATTATAAATGTCTTGTACAGACTGTACTGATATTGCAAGTATAATTCATGTGCTGCTGGAACTCTCAGAATATCCTTAATTCGATTTCTCGATTTTCACATTTTTCACAAATTCGATTTTTTCAAAAGCCGATTAATTGCCTAAATTCGATTTATTGCCCAGCCCTAGTTGAAACCTTCAAATCAAGTCAGAAATCTAGGGGTAATACTGGACTCAGACTTAAATATTAATAGCCACATTAAATCAGTAACATCTGCAGATTTTTACCATCTAAAAAACATTTCCAGGATCAAAAACATAGTGTCTAAAGCAGACCTGGAGATTCTTATCCATGCATTTGTCTCCAGTAGGTTAGACTATTGCAATGGCCTGCTCACAGGTCTGTCCAAACAGGCTGTAAAACAGCTGCAGTACATTCAAAATGCATCAGTTCGAGTCCTGACTAGAACCAGGAAGAACGATCACATTAGTCCAGTCCTCAGGTCTCAGGACTAAACATGGGGAGGCTGCTTTTCAGATTCATGGTGCTAAAATCTGGAACAAACTTCCCGAAAGTGTGAGACATGCCTCCTCTCTGGCAAGGTTTAAAACAAGGTTAAAAACAGCTGCGCAAACAACTGAGGGATTTTATATTTTTATCTTTCTTTTTAATGTTCTGTGATTATTCATGATTTAATGCTATCTCATTTTGTTCAGCACTTTGAGTTGCCTTGTTTATGAATTGTGCTACACAAATTAACTTGCCTTGCCTTGCCTATTGAGCCATGCCTAAACCAAAACATACTGAGAATCTACTACTTTTGATCAAAAATGTGATTAATCACATCCCTAGTTCACAATATATAGTTTCAAATTTCGGAGACTCACACATTTTCAGAAACTCTTTGGGTTTCAATAAAGGTTGTTATAAATACGCCCACTTTGTTACCATGTCTTTATTCAATGTAATTGATTGTCGCAATCAGGCTAAGGTTAGGAATATGATTAGTTAATTTGGGGTTGGGAATAAGACAGAAAAAAAACAAAAACAATATCAATATGCAAGACATTTTTATTATAATTTTTTTCACATTATTCCCCAAGCCCTGGATCATGATGAAACATGAACCCCTTTTACTCTCCATCACAAAACCTTACAGGAGGATCACTGTAACAAGTGAAAGTACATCCTCATGGTACTTGCATCCACACTGCATCTCTCTCTTAAAAAAAACAAAAAAAACCTCAAACTTCAAAACAGGAGGATAATGGTGAGGCTGTTGGAGTGATTCCTCATGCGTTCTTGCCCATGTCAGAGAAGCTACAAAAATAGTCATCTTTTCTGACCAGTGCTTTTGAAATAGGGGCTTTTTTCCTTCCCTTCACAGGTCCTTCATGACCCATGCCGGACATTCCAAAAGTCTCCATTCTCAAACATTGTTCAGTACAGGTGATGACTGTTGAAAGCTTCTCTATATCATGTGACCAATACGATATCATTGGAATCTGTAACATGTGCAAAATCTTTCAAATTTGACCAATGTGTTCGTTATGACAATTTGAAAGACTTTTCTGACAAAAGAGCGTGTCAGGTAGTGAGCCGTTGTACGTGCTGTAGTTTTAGACGACTCATTATGAGCCTTAGTTTCAGAGGCTTAGTTTGAAGACTCTTGGACGATGGAGATTTACAAATTTCTGTAGTATTGTCTATATTAAGTGTTTTTCAAAAAAATATATATATTCAAAACAGTTCCTTGCTTTCACCAGAGTTTGACCAATGGGTAGCAACAACAAAATCAAGATGATAATATGCAAGACATTTTTTATTTAATTTTCTTTCTCATTATTGCCCGAACATTAGTCCTGGAACACGTTGGAACAAGAACCCATTTCCGTGAGATCAACAGAAGATGGACTCTCCACCACAAAACACAGAGTGAACAAGTGAAAGTAAACTTGGACTGTTGTTGTTGTGATTCCTCATGCGTTCAAGTCCTCGTCAGAAAAGCTACAAAAATGGTCATCTCAGATGGTCAATGCTTTTGAAATAGGGACCTTTTTCCTGCCCTTCAAAGGTCCTTCATGACCCATGCCGGACATTCCAAAAGTCTCCATTCTCAAACAGGTGACGACTGTAAAAGCTTTTCTATCATGGGACCAATACGATGTCATTGGAATCTGTAATGTGTGCCACATCTTTCTAAAGGGACCAATGTGTTTGTTAAATGACTTTAACAATTCATCAAGAAATCAAAAATTCCTCCATGATATGTTTAAGTCCTAATATCTGTGGTAAAAACTAAACTAAGCCGAATTATAAAGTCTCAAATGAGTTGTGGTGTTTTGTCGAGTCCATCTCTATCGTCTATCGTCACCGGATCTTTAAGCACAGTTCCCAGATGGAAACTTCGTAGTTTCATTTGTTGCTCTGTCTGAGATCAGGTTTTCACATGTCTCTTCAGAGTTTGCACAGTCACTTGAATGAAAGTGATTCCTCCTGTGTTCAAGCCCATGTCAGAAAAGCTACAAAATGGTCATCTCATCAGGTCAATGCTTTTGAAATAGGGACCTTTTTCCTGCCCTTCACAGGTCCTTCATGACCCATGCCGGACATTCCAAAAGTCTCGATTCTCAAACATTGTTCAGTACAGGTGATGACTGTTGAAAGCTTCTCTATATCATGTGACCAATACGATGTCATTGGAATCTGTAACATGTGTGAAATTTTTCAAAATAGACTAATGTGATTGTTAAATGACTTTAACAAATCATCAAGAAATCAAACTTTCCTCCATGATATGTTTAAGGCCTAATCTCTGTGGTGAAAACTAAACTAAGCCGAATTAAAACGTTTCAAATGAGTTTTGGTGTCCATCTCTGCGTCTATCGTCGCCTGGTCTTAAAGCACTGTTCCCAGATGGATGGATGTGCTTCTTGGGTTGGGAAATGTTTAAAAGGTGAAGGCCTTTCTGACCCGAGAGAAGAACCGTGCCAGGCCAGACTTAGGACGGTTCTGGAGCTTTCTTAGCTCAATGTTGAATTGTTCCAACACTTCTGTTTCAGACTCTTCAATGGAAATAATATTCACTTTAAGACGTTTAGCGACTCTCTTTCCAATCTTCTCCAACTGTTCAGGTTTAAATTGGCTTTGGTCTGTGACATTGATGCTCGTCGCGACCTTCCTCTGCAGCTCAATGGTCATCAGTGAGCGAGCGTGCAGGTCTTTCTCTTCCCCAGCCATTTCAAAGACTTTCCTGACAAAGGATCGTGTCAGGTAGTGAGCCGTTTTACGTGCTGTAGCTTTAGACGACTCGTTATAAGCCTCAGTTTCAGGGGCTTCATTTTCAGATTCCATGTTTTCTTGGACGATGGAGATGTTGACTTCTTCTTTACAAGGTTCATCAACTGGATCCAGGTCCTCAGGTCTGTCTGAGATCAGGTCCTCGCATGTCTCTACAAAGGACTTATTACATGTTTCTTGGACAATATTTTCTGACTCTGAGCTTCCCTCTACTATAGAGATGGTGCGTTCTTCTGGACGGGGTGAGTCTACTAAACTTTTCTCCCTCTCTTCCTCTGGTTGATCAGAGGTCAGGCTCTCGGGTTTCTCTTCTGGCAACGTTTCAAGGGTTTCGTTTGTTGCATCCATGTTTTTTTCCTCCATGCATATGCTGGTTTCTTCTGGACAGGGTGGCTCTATTGGACTGAGCTCCTCCTGGTCCTCTGCTCTGTCTGAGATCAGGTTTTCACATGACTCTTCAGAGCAGCCTTCTTCCGCAGTCACCGACTCGTTACTGTTCTGGTTTTCTGTGGGTATAGTCTGTCTCGCTTCACTTGTGGTATTATCAGCCCAATTCAAAGTACCATTGTTTTCTGTAATCACTCCCATGTTGGCCAATATGGAGAGGATGTCATCAGGCAAACAATTAACGTTTGCTTGGGGATTGTTCTCTTCAATTGTAGCCTTCTGGTCGACATTGAGGATATTGACTTCTTCTTTCAGTGCAGGCTCCAGAAAAAGTTCAGATGAGCATTCCTGTTCAATTGGCGCAGGAATTTCACTGTCATATGAAGACAGTATCTCAACTTCAGCCTCTGGTTCTTGCAGCGGTGGTTCCTCTGCTTGAATTACATCCTCAACTACATTTAATTCAACCATTTCCTGTTGAATTTCTGCTGGGGTGCAAATCTGAGTTTCTTCCATTGTGTTCTCAGACAAGCTGCTATCATCCACAAACTCCTGATCAGGGGAAACCTCCTCAGGTTTCACACTTTCACCAATGTTATTTCCATCCTCAACAGTCACAGACAGGGTTTGT